GAGACAGTAAACAGGGGAATTTAAAAAGCCCTTTCCTCCTTTGTATAATTTCTTTTCTTCTTTAGTTAATAGGAATGAGGTGGATTAAAGGCTTTCTGGAGCCTTCCTAAACTCTAGACAGATAATAATTTTCAGAGCAGCTTTCTGCTAAAAGAAAGATGTTGCATTCCTTTCCTGCCCAAGGTTTTAAAACAACTCAACAAAGACAATTGTAGTGCTGATACTGTCCAGTAGAACTTACAAGAAGTGAAGGCCAGATAGCAATTTTGAGAGGAAAATTTAATCAAAAAATTTTTAAGTATTCGTTTTCTTAGAGTAATACTTTCTCAAGTATGATCTCTTGACTAACAGCAGCAGAATTAATTGGCAACTTGTTAGAATGGGCACTTTGAGGGTTCTGCTTTTAACTTACTGAGTCAGAAACTAGAAGTATGTGTGGATTATCAGTCTGGTTTTTTTAATTAAATTCTTTTATTGGTACATTGTAGGTATACAACACAATTACATTTCTCATTACATAATGCATCTTGGTTCTTATTTTTTCCCCATTCCTAGCCCTCCCTTCACACCCTCCACCCTTCCCTATTTACAAAGACTTTATTTCTATTTTTTCCATTTCTCATCATTTTTCCTTTCCTTTCTTTCCTTTCCCTTGCCCCTCCCACTACCCCAGTCTGTGTTTTAACAAGAGCTACAGGTAATTTTTTAGTTCGGTAAAATTTACACACTACTGCCTTAGAGAAACTCTCAGGATCTAAGATTAAGTATGTGCAGCTTATCAGAGCTCAAATTTAGCTCTGGTCCAAGAAATACAGACAACAAGGATAAATACCCTTATATATGGTGTGGATGGAGGTGAATAAAACCATCGCAATACTTAGATAGGGAGTGAAGAGACCAAGTGCAGACAATGTGTAAAGGGACTATAGCTCTAGAGTGACGAGTCTTGGAAATCTTGCTGTATAATGTGTGGTACCAGCTAATAGCAGAACCTGTTTTTCTGGGTCTTGGAGTTCAATACATTTGATGACCTGAGAATGGCTTTGGATGCATGGCAGAGTAAATTATATTAGTGTTAAGTTGATACCAAATAAACACTTTGTGTATGAATGTATTGGTACTTAAGAGTGTCTATCTTGCTTCTAATTTGAAAATGCTTTGACTTCTCTTTAAATCCTTGCCTTCATTAGTTCCCATGGTAATTTCACGTACTGCACATCTATACATGCACCTTTACCCTGATTGATGAATCATAAAATTCGCTGGAAGAGATGGGCCAGTGCCTTTTGCCAAAGAAGCATTGGCTGTCCCAGTTCACAAGGGAATAGACTATAATTACAGCTTCCTTGCCTCTTCTACAAAAACCTCTCCGTCAGTACATTCTGACATGGTCAACCACAAGAGAGAAACTTGGAACCCTCATTTCCTAGGAGACATAGAAACTCTCTAAATGGCATAGCCTTAAACCCAGTGCAATCCACCATACTCTCCAGAGGCCACAAGTTAGGTATCATCAGTATAACAACCTCTGAGTCTCATTTTCAGGTAATTGAGAGTAAGTAGAGACTTGTAATATTCTTGTGATTTTTCAAGGATGCTGCTACAGTGCTGTGCTTTTTCATTCCTGCTCTCCTGGAGTCATGTGAGTTTGGACTAGAAAAAGATTCTTCAAAAGGCATTTCTTAGCCTTCATTAGAAGTCTGTAAGTGCAATTGGTTGTGGGAAATTTGCTTCAAAAAGGGGAGCATGAGATTTAAATACCAGGGGAAGAAACTTTGCTGAATAACATCTCTGTGTAGTTTGATTTGGAGTTTTAATTAGCAAGCTTCCTAAAGCAGGAGTTATGTTTTGGCAGTAGAAAAGAGGAGCAAACAGAGAAGCTCCAAGCAAGTGATATTTTAACTAGATCAGGTAAATGGGAGGTGCTGTGAAGGCAGTTTAAGGCATTTAGTATGAATTCTTGAAATGACTAACAAGAAATAATTCCTCATTAAGCACCTAAGAGAAATTTGTGTGCCTAGTGAGAAAGATACTGTGAAGATCAACAGCAACAAACTGAGAAGAGGGAATCAATACAGCCTTACTGATGATCTGAGCTTTTCCCTCAGTAGTCTCACAATGGACAGGAAGGAGTCTAAGTTTAGCTGTGCTCTTGTGAAGACTGGCAGATAGGCTTTCGATTCTGTAGTTTAGAGGCATGGAAAGTCTTGTCCATTCGCAGTTGCTCCAGTAATGATAACTTTTAATGAAGGGATTGGCTTTAATGTCACAATAAGAATTGGATTAGTGACTGGGTCAGAGGTATAAGTTCAAACTAAAGTGTAAGTGAGAATGGTGATGAAAGTTTAAATATTTTGTGCAAGGAATACATGAGACCACGACCTGGTGTTGGGTGGAATAATAATGATGGAAGTGAAGAACAGGATAAGGGTGCATGACTCTTTGAGGGTTGGTGTGTGTAAAGATTGGAGTTCTTTAGAAAGAAAAGACTATAGGACCTGTAAGAAATGCTCAGTTATATCTGTCAAGTCAGCTGCTGATCTATTCTAGTAATACATGGTAATCTATTCTCAGTCCAGCTTCTATGGGGGAAATAAAAGTCAGAAGCATAAAATCAGAGACCTAAAGAACAGGGTGGAACCTCAAAGAATTATCAGGTTAAGCCTCCCAGCTGTGGGTGACTTTGTGAGAAGTTTGAAAACTGTATTGATTGTTTTTTTGGTACCAGGGATGGAACTCAGGACCTTGAGCTTGCGAGGCAGGCAGTGGCACCACTGAGCTAAATCCCCAGCTGAAAACTGTAGAAGTGTACGTACACTAAGTAGTTGGAAGAAATGTAATGAGTGGGAATCTCTCTGCTGGTGTATTCTGACCCCATATCCTTTGTCTGTATTGAGCAGAGACCCACATTAACTCAGGAAACAAAGCTGAGTTGTAAAATGCACAACCGAGTGCATCTAGTTTGACTGCAAGCATCAGGGAAGGGGCTTTCCAATCTCTGATGACTGTCAATGATTCTAAAGGACATACAGAAAAAAAATTGTAAAAGTTTGCCCTACAATGGAACTAATTACATTCAATATAAACTAGTTGCCCATTACATACACTGTAAAGCTAAGACTAGATTCTAGTTGGTTAAGAAACTACAGGGAGGATTCTGTATTGAATATGTGATTATATTTCCCATTAAAACGAAGATGATAGTAATAGGACATGACCTGCATCAAACACATTCTGTGCTCAAACGGGTTGAAAACTTACATCTTTGCCACTCTACACTCCCAGGTATAAGCTCACAGGACAATGTGTTCAATATCCTGCATATGCAAGCCTGTTACAAGTCACACTTATCCCTCTCTTCTCTGAAAGTCATGTGGTTTTCTGGCTCTGAGCTGTGATTGTCACCAAGCTCCATTTCTTTCATTAGTTCCTATGTTTATGAAAACAACAACAAAAATTGACAGTTGATCTTGTTTACCAACATATATGGGCTTTCTGATATTGTTTAGCTCTTTAAGTCTTCTTACATTGCAATGAAGGAACACCTTTGTGCTCCAACAATAGACATGTCTCTTCTCTGGATTTATTCTTCCAGTAACTACATACATGGAGTAGCCAGTCCATTAAGGAATAGGAAAGTTTTCCCTTCTTCCTTTTGAAATGTGCACACTGAGAATAAGAAAAAGTTGTGACAGTTATTTTTTATACCTCCTTTATAACTTTTTAAATTCCCTAGTCCTTTAATATTGACCTTTATATTATCTTTGCATTATGCTTCCTGAATAGCTTCTATACTAGGGCTGGCTATACATAAGGTACACTTTAAATATTTCTGTTTAAATAAATGGATATAAACTTCCAATATAAACTTCCAGTGATGTTCTCATTCATATTTTGAAAACTTCCAGGTGAAATAATTTCTAAGCTTTTATCCAAATGATTACCCCTCAGTGTCCTCCCCAAAACCATTGCTCTCCATTTACAGCATAATTCCTTCCAGTTTAAGTAAACCCTTACTATGGGTTTTTTCCCCCTCAGAACCTAACAGTTTGACAAAGATAAGGCAAATAAGAGAAGAATATAAGAATTTTCCATGAAGAGAGATGAGTCATTACCATGTAGGTACAAGTCTATGGAATCTCATCAAATCACTTCTTGCCATTATGGAAGGATGAGCAGAAGCATTCGATTAGAGTTTTTCTTTGAAATAACCAAGCACTGTGGATATAATATGAATAAAGGATTGGAAGAGAAGAGAGTAGGAAAAGTTTGAAATTTTCTGTTTCAGAAATAGAATGAAGTCTAAAAATGTTTAATTTCAAAATATTGGGGAAAGGAAACTGGGTGTGTAAGGTGAGGTGCAGCATCTCATGAAGTTTTCAGATGAAAGTGAGCAAGTACATGTGAAAATATCTCTTGATTAATGAAGAGAATAGAAACTAGTAGGGTGACATTAAAATAAAAATTAAATTAAAATAATAAAACTTAAAAAACAATCACTAAGAATCAGTTCCCTAGTCAGAATCTATTCCAGCTTATAAGACATGAAAAATGACATCCAACTTTATCCAGTGAACAGTGTTTGCCATTTATATTCTACACTAATGATTCCACCTACTCTCTTCTATATTCCATAAAAGTGCATGAGCATTCAAGTATGTTCCTGAGAAGGAAAATGAAGTGTATCTTTTTTTTGGAGAGTCTTTAGCTGGGAGATAATCCTAGTTTATTTCAATGAATATTTGAGGTCTTATATTTATATATTGAACAAGTGTTATACATTAGGTACTATACAAAGCTTTTTACAAGTATTAACCCATGTAATTCTAAACTCTGTACTGATACTATAATTAATGCTGTTATATGGATAATGAAGCTTGGCAAACATCTTCAGTTAATAAGCATTACTGTAGTCTCATTCATATCCCTGTTCTGTGTTGTCTCTTCAGGCAATGTGATTCTGTGCCAGGTTTCCTGACCACAGATGTCCAGGACTCAGCAAGACCATGGAGTCTCCTAATCACACCAACATGAATTCTTCTGTCTTCTTTCTTCTGGGCATTCCAGGTCTGGAACAATTCCACGCATGGCTCTCACTCCCTGTGTGCTGCCTGGGAACAGCCACTGTTGTGGGCAATCTAACCATTCTGGTTGTTGTTGCCACTGAACCTGCCCTACACAAGCCTGTGTACCTTTTCCTATGCATGCTCTCAACCATCGATTTGGCTGCCTCCTTCTCTACAGTGCCCAAGCTACTGGCCATCCTCTGTTGTGGAGCTGGACATATCTCTGCCTCTGGCTGCCTGGCACAGATGTTCTTCATCCATGCCTTCTGCATGATGGAGTCCACTGTGCTGTTGGCCATGGCATTTGATCGCTATGTGGCCATCTGCCACCCCCTCCGATATGCCACTATCCTCACTGACACCATCATTGCCCGAATTGGGGTGGTAGCTATGGTGCGAGGCTCCCTGCTCATGCTCCCATGTCCCTTCCTCATTGGGCGTTTGAGCTTCTGTCAGAGCCATGTGATCCCTCACACATACTGCGAGCACATGGCAGTGGTGAAACTGGCCTGTGGGGACACTAGGCCTAACCGTGTGTATGGGCTGACAGTGGCCCTGCTGGTCATCGGGGTCGACTTGTTCTGCATTGGTCTATCCTATGCCCTCATTGCTCAGGCTGTCCTTCGTCTCTCATCCCATGATGCTCAGTCCAAAGCCTTAGGGACCTGTGGTTCCCACGTCTGTGTCATCCTCATCTCTTACACTCCAGCTCTCTTCTCTTTTTTCACACACCGCTTTGGACACCATGTCCCACTCCATATCCATATTCTTTTGGCCAATGTCTATCTGCTCTTCCCACCTGCTCTTAATCCTGTGGTTTATGGAGTTAAGACCAAGGAGATTCGTGAAAGGGTAATGGGGTGTTTCAAAGGAGACAAGAAACTGGGGTAAAAGCATCCAAGTGATTCTGTATGATATGAAAGGATGTGATAAAAAAATTTTAATATTAAGAAATACTCAGTATTTGAGACTGGAAAGAGATTTTAATAGGGGAACAATGTCCTCTGCAGAACCTTCTAGATTATTTCCAAGAATAATAAAGAGAGCAAGAAGGTTCAGCACTCTCCTTTGCCACCCAGAAAAGTGTAAACACAGAAAGACTCTTCAAAATGAGACAGACTCTAGATTTTGCAAACAGTCTGCCTTGCTCTTGTTTAACAGAGGCTCTGCAGAGCGGTGGGGTCCCTCCCTTCCTGGCCCTCTCCCACCACTACCAGCATGAATTTTTAATTTCAGACTTTTCTTTCTTGCTCTCCTACCATATGCAAGGATTAGAAGATAGGACAATAACGCTACAGCTGATTTATAGCTTCAAGGAATTGATTATGCTTTTGTATAAGTCCTATATTTCTCTATCAGAACTTCAAGCCAGAAAAGAGTGAAGAGATCCACCAATACTCACAATAGTACTTAGCAGCAGAGAAAGCACTTGAAAACTAGAATACTTTGGTCTAAAGTGATAGGACTCCTATGGATGGAATTGTGAAAGAGATCAGGAATAGCTCTTCATTTCCAAACATGGGCTTTCCATCCCACACGTATGTTCCTGTGTTGAACCTGTAGAAAACCATTCTAAGTCAGAATGACTTGGATATCACTCCCTGGCAAGCTGTTGTCAAGCACTTTTATACTTTCATACCAGTGAGAGAGAGTTCCAGAGATAAATAAATGATTTGCATATATGATAATTTAATAAAATACTCTGGCTACTTGTTTTTTTTTCAAGGAAAGGATAACCATTGCGTTGTTCTATAGGAAGATCATCAATATATGGACTGACATGGGTTTTAATATTTTATCTTAATCCTCTAATTGATATACTTTTAAAGAACTATATGCAAATCTAAGAACTAAAGTTCCTCAACTAAATTAGTTTTTATTTTCCAAATTGGCCATCTTGCCACCCCAGTAGCCTGCAACTCCAACCTGGGAACAATCCTGTCTCCTGGGTCATGGCTTAATACACTGAAGAGTGTGGAGAGTTCTGGAAGAAAGCCTACATGTATGCAGAGAAGGAGCAGTACTTGCTCATGAGTTCTCTCTTTTTTTTTTTTTTGTACCTGGGATTGAACTCGGGACCTTGCCCTTGTGAGGCAGGCGGCAGAACCATTGAGCTAAATCCCCGGCCCATGAGTTCTCATTTAACTGAGATCTCAGTACTAGATGCTTGTGCTTTCACCTGCTTCGTGGATGTAATACTAGGCTTTTACCATACTTAGCTTCCTTGTACAAACTTTTATCACACACTTCCTTATCCAACAAAAGTTACATTAGTTTCTGTCCCATAAGAATAAATGAAATGACTAAAAGTATCACATACTCAAATCTTTATGCATAGTTTCAACATCAAGCTGCATTGATTTATTACTAATTCCTTCTTTTCTTAAAAAAGTTTCTAAAAATATGCTTTTGGAGGTTCAGATCAATGGCTATTTCTCTATTGTCTTCACAACATGTTTGAATTCACTGGCATTTTTACCCTACACCAAAAAAAAAATTTCCCTTGACCTCAGTCATCTTTCTTTCTTATGTAAGATTATGGAAATATTTTGGATCTAATTATTTTTATTTTCTTGATTCCTATTTATCCTCTACATTACATTCTTTACATTTTGGCTTCAAGCACAAGCTGAAGTTTCCAGTGAAATTTCTGTCATTTGTTACAAGTAACCACCTTACAACACGTTGTGTTACTGCCATGATCTGCTTCTCTGAGGTCTGTCCACTGTGATTTCTATTATCTCACAAAATCCTAGCAATTTTGATATATCTGAAACAATTTTTTTCTTTTCTTAATTTTTCTTCTCAAGCCTGATTTTAAATGTTGATGTTTAGTAGGATGCCTCTTGCTTCTTCTTTTCACTCCATCCAATCTCAGTCCATAGGAGTGAAGGCCATGGAAGGAAGAAGTGTGTCCAGAGCAGTGTTGAGCAGAAGGCTTCCAATGGGGCACCACCTAGTTACGTAATAGAAGGTCCTGCATCTTGTTTGCACTGGGGAACTTCTCTAGACTTTTCATTTCTTCCTTCAAACATCTATGAAACATCTATGAAATATTTGACTGATCCCATCCTACCACCATCATTTCTTCCTTCAGATGATAATGCCTGGATCTCAACTGACTTTAAGCACACTGCGGATAATATTAATACTTGAAATCTGTTCCTTACAAGATTAGCTAGTAGGCAACAATTTTTGTTTCCTTCATCTTTGCTTTTCCTTAGCTTACTACTATTTGACTCCAAAGGTGATACATAGCCCTGGGTGGTGGGAGTGGGGGGTGAAAGAGCTACCTCTACTGGCTTCTGAGATTGGTACAGGGATGAATCCATGACTTAAGTGGTGACCTTCACATCTCTTCTTATAATGCAAATATTGGGAATCAGAGATCTTTACAACCGGTCCTGCTGAGCTGACAGTATATAAATCTAGAAATGTGTTTTACATCTTGCTGCCATTTAGAAAGATCCTGTCTGTAACCAACATAATACCGAAAAATCCCCAGAAAAAAATAGATACGCAAATATAGATTGCTAGTATTATCTGTACACCTAAATCTATCTGATTAAATATATTTCTATTCCTTTGTTTATATACTTTATTTAACAAAACACATAAATTCATTTTTTGCTTGAGATTTTTTTGAGTGGAATCTTTGTTTTTGAGAATTCAAACAATGTTGAATACCATGTCTTTGGAAAATCAAAACTTGTGTGACCATCACTCAATAAAGACCCCAGCCACAGCAGCAGGCCCAGACCCAGACCTCCTCTTTCTCACTCTTACTGCCTTTTACTCTCCCTTGCTCCTTGTGGGATAGCAGATGAGAAGTCTTTTTAGTGCTTTGATCTGAGTCTGTTGATCTCTGAATGTCTTTCACAGATCTCAGAACTACTTTCAGATTTCATTTAATAGATTCCAACAGTGGATCTTAAATGAGAAGATTAATAAACAAAGAACAGTTAGTATCGATCGTCTCCCAGTTCAGGCACACAGCAAAAATGGTGAAAGAAATAGAACAAGAGGCATAAGTGACATATTGGATATATATGTAGAAAAAGAGGCAAATAAATATTCTAATATATGATGTAGAAAACCCTAAAACTAATGAAATGCATTAATTCATGGATGGAAGACATTCAGCAAACTGCAATAAGCTAAAGACAAAATCCATGTAAGGTGCATTAGAGTTGATGAGAAGCATGACAGTTGAACTGGTGAAAGTCACAAACTAATGAAAAAATGTTTAAAGCAATCAAGACTTGTGCATAGGAACTTCTCAAAGGGCTAAATTTAAGTCTAGCACTTGTCCCTACAGTCTTTTAAATATTAGAAACTAATTCAGAACAGAGTGCAATAAAGATAAAAATTTTAAAAGTCACTATCCTTAATTTACTAAGCAAGTATAAGTTAAATGTCATTGATATATCAATTATATAATTAATTTGCCAAATCAAATTGTTATAGACATCTTCAAGATAAAAAGTCATTTTTTAAATAGTGGGTGTTAATTAATCCCAGCATCTCACAGATGCTAGGCAAACGCTCTGACACTAAACTACATCCTGGCACCTATTATCTTGATGTAGTAGAATATTAATGCACACACTGCTAGGAATTAATTTTGAATAAATGATAAAATCTGAGACGTCACGTGATTTATGATCGAGTATATTTATTGTAAATTTAAAAAAATAAAATGGTAGAAAAGATAGAAAACTATTTAAATTATGTTTATTGACTTGATAGCCTTCTATGCAGCATGGGAAATGGAAAAATATTCCATTTCTATTTACCTGGGCAGGGCCAGGGATTTAGCTCAGTGGTTTTGCCGCTGCTGCACAAGCGCAAGGACCCGAGTTAAATCCCCGGTACCAAAAAAAATAAAAAGAAATCTATTTACCTAGGCATATACATTAGTAGTAATTTAAAATATATGCTACTTCAGTAGAAGGTCAAATAAATATCCTGTAAACAATCATTTTAAAATAAGAATTTAATAAATGTCTATGTAAATAAATCACTCCCATTATCTAAGTGTATTCAATGTGCTCCCCCCCACTCAGGGCCTTTGCAAGCTTTATAGAAAATGAACCCAGGCCTACAGAAGTGAAATCATTAGTTTCTATTAAAATACCCCATTTCTAATGCTGACACTTACATATTTATACATACATGCACACATACATAGATACTCTCTGCAATCATACAATATTTAGATGTTTTCAGTAACCATTTGGCACCCTAGAGATTATCTTAATTCCAGCAATATTTATCTGATGCTTGCAAATGTTCCCTTGGGATATTTGCAATATATAACGCTCATTTTTCTTCCGGTACAGGACAGCGGTCTTCAGACCAAGAATTTATAGTGCTTGGACAGCCACACTTTTTGGAACTCAAACCAGATATAATTTAGCTCCTTGTCTTGTCCTCCAGAATTAAGGTATTTGAATACAATAATTTACCAGTGACAAGAGAATCTTGTTTTCACAAAGAAATGAAGAAAAAATGATTTAAGATAGATAATAACTACTTTTTTCTCCCAGAAAGCAATGTTTTATTCCACTATCTATGTTCAAATTAAAATATGATACAAGAAGATGGTACAGATGCTGGTGGAAACACTTATTTCTCACCTTGGGTATTGTAAGTCAATTTAAGTTATCATTATATCTATGCATGTCTATGAACAACTGTTCTAGCCATGTAGGAATGTTTGCTTTGGGAATGGTGGAGGTCAGGGATAAACCACTGCCTTGTCACAGAGTAAGGGAAAATATATGGATAATAATTGTAAATCACTAGGATCATGACTGAATTTCAATTCCCCTTCCCCTTCTCCTTATGAATCTGAGTTTCCCTGAGTTGGTGGGAGGGGTCTTTCAGGA